TCCATGGAGGTCCCTGGTCCTCTGCTAGTAATAAGGTTGCCGTCAACCACAACCCTGTTTTCAACTTCGCTCTGATCTGATAACTTACTGCACATAGCAGGAAAGGCAGTAGCCTTCTTACCCTGTAACAGAGGGCACAGAGTATCTCAATTTTACAACATAATGCCGTGAATAAGCACATTCTGCACATCAAACAGGATTAATTCTAGTTTAAAATTCTACATCTATCATATCTACATATCTATTCTATATATATCGCAAAAATTATGTAAAACCGCATTACTCATAAGTCATGAATAGCTCATCTTTGCACTTAGTATCCACAACCTAGGTCAGAGTAATTTTAGACACTTGCTATCTGGCATAATATCAACTGGATATCTCTAACAGCACATTAATTACTTTCATCTAATGAAAACAAGAGGGGGCAAATCCAGAAAACTTGTAAAGTTTTGTGTAAAGAACCTATGCCTTGAATCAAGATATGCAGTCGTTTCTCTTGTATTCCAATGAAGAGTTGGCCATATAGTGAAGATACATGTCATTTCATCAATATTTCCCAACGAGCTGTCCTTAGAATGAAGGTTGATCGACCCCAAAAAGAAAAAGGGGGGGGGGGAGGTACCTTTAGCAAGCCATGGGGCTCCAGGACTAATGCTGGGGATGCACAAATCGCTCCATAATATCTGTTCGATTCTCTCTGCTTTTTCAGCAGACTGACCAGAGTTGCTGACTTTGCAAAAGCTTGGGCACCTCCAAGCCCACCCTGCAGACAGTGAATTATATTTACAACTTAAACAAATACTAGCTGGTGGCTACCATGGGCAAAACAAGATGCAAACTTACTGGCAGCACAATCAGGTCATATGTAAGTTTAGCTGCCTCATCAAGGAGCATGTCTGCCTCCAGTTTTACTTTCCGCGAAGCTAAAATCTCTACTTTGTCCTCAACAGAAGCAACTACAACATTTGCTTTTGCTCTTCGCAGAACATCAATGATAATGACAGCTTCCATTTCCTCAGTGCCATTAGCAATTGGTACAAGTACCTGAGAAGACAATGCAAATACAATAGCCAACCAAAGTCATTTTGGGGAAAAGAATGGCTACTGTTGCTATAAAATAACGAAAAGTCAAATTCTCAATAGTTGACGAAGAAGAAGAAAGTCCAAAGCCGAAAACAAACCCTAGGGGGATTATCACATGTCCATTGGACTGGGTTTAGCTCAGTAAAAGTATATTCATCCCCATGATTGGATCGCATGACCTGAATTAAAAAATAAAACATGCAAATATCTTAATAATGCTCGCATTTGTATGTCAAAAAGCAGCTGCAACAAGCTCAATCTCATAAATAACCTGACCAGTTATTCAGTGGTATGAAATAAGAATTAAAATACATTGCAACTCTTCATTAGGATTTTGGAAGAAAGATTAGCAACTGCTAACTCATTCCTGGGAAATGCAAGTGCCAACCATCTAAACAAAACAAGAACCCTCTCAACCCTTTTTCTTATTCTTCCAGAAGCCCTGACTAGTGCTTCTTCGGGTCAATGTTCTTGCTGAATAGCAAAATCTATATGGCCCTCTTTTTTCCCTCTTAAAAACGGGAGGGAAAAAAAAAAAACTGCTAGAATTATCAAGAAGTAAGTCTTCACCAGTGGACCAGCAACTTCGTTCGCCTTCTCCTTTCCATATAACTGCTCAACCAGTGCAACGCCAAAGTCCATGGTAGTGCCTGGTGCACGGCTTGTCACAACTCTTCCATCCAGCTGCACTATTGATTCAACAGCAGTCGCATGAGATGCCAATTTATCCATAAATGATGGATGGCCAGTTGCCTGTCAGATTACATTACACCCATTACCACAAATCCATCATTCATTTGATTTGTTAGAACCTACAAGAGCACATAACTCATTGTGGGTTCTAAAAAGGTTAATGTCAAGTAATCAGCCAACTTACCTTCAGACCCTTCAGCAAACCCCATGATCCAAGTACGACGGCAGGAGCAGCGCATATTGCAGCATAAAGCCGTCCATCTGCAACGTGCTTTTTCACTAAGCTTTCCAAAGTTTCACAGTCTCTGAGATTATCCACACCTGGAACACCTCCCTATCGTAGAAGAACTTCAGAGAACTCGAAATTAAGAGACTGAACAATACACAGAACAGAATGTTGCTCTCTTTTTTTCCCATCAAAACTCAAATGCAAAGATTTATTTCACGTTATACATTTTGTCGGCTGGGTCAAGTGAGTCGGAGACAATCAAAATAACTTCTACGGCACAGCAAACAGCGATAAGGACGAAATCGATGATCAAACATAATCAAGACTCAGAAAGAGGAATGTACAGGTAAAGCGACAAGGTCGAAAGCAGTATTAGCAACATCAGAGACAGGAGCATCGGCGATGATCTTGACGCCATGTAGAGCTTCAACACGAAGCTGCTTCCCAGCAGAAGCAACGACAACGTCAGCTCCCGATCGTCGGAGAACATCGATCGTAATCACAGCCTCCATAGGCTCCGAGCCATTGGCAATCGGAACCAGAACCTGACAATTCCCCCACCCCAAACAAGAGCAATCTCGGCATCAGTGATCGATCCCACTACGACAAAGTTTTAAATGAAACAGAAGAAGGAAGAGAGGCTTGGTTTACCTTTCGAGCAGTGGAAGCCATGGCTGTTGCAGATGCAGAGACAGAGATAAAGCGTTTCTTGAGAAGGGCGGGCTTGGGAGTGAAGCTGGAAAAGGAAAGAGGGAGTTCTAGAATTGAGTAACGCAAAGCCATTTTATGCTTCAGCGTGATACTGTGTGAGGGACTGGGAGACCCGTGGGTGCGGATAACTCGCATCTTGGGTTCGAGCTTGGGTCTTGCCAACACGTATCTCATTGATGTTGATTAGCTGCTGTGATTTTGCCACGTAAAAAGATACCAAATTTAACTGATCTGATTTTGCCACGTAAGAAGACGAGAGAATCACGCCCTGCAATGGCAATGCATTGCCCTTTTGCTCGTTAGCTCCTCTTCGTTGAATATTTGGCTTGGGCTAACGCACCGGTTTGGTCTCACGTTTTTGTGTCAGCTGATCGAACGAGGTCCAAGTTGCATATATGAATATTTTTTAACATCTAGTTCTATAAAATTATCTTTTTATCACCAACAAGGATTCATATGGAAAAAAATTAGCATGTTTTATTAAAATAATATGATGACAAATATCTTAAAAAATTATGCCATACTTTTTTTAAAAGAAAAGGCATGAAAATATCAATATATTTAGCATTTTATTTATAGTGTATTCAGTACTTGATACATTAGTTTTGGTGAATGATATAATTAAATAATAACATTCAAGGAGTGTTAGGTAAACTAAAAAATAATACTCCTCCGGTCCTTAATATAAGACCCATTTAACTAATTTGATTAGATTAAGGAAGTTAGGTAAGTTAGTTAATTGTAATAAATATGACACGTTTTTCCTAAAACACCATAATCTACCCCCTCTCCTTCTTCTACTTGATTATGGTTGATGGAGTATCCATAGGGGTAATTTAGGGATTATTGATAAATATGAGAAATGGGTCTTATATTTAGGACCAAAACCAACTCAATAATTGGGTCCTATATTAAAGACCGGAGGAGTATTAAAATATTGAGTATACCATAAATAAAATTAAAATACTAGATGTTATGAGAAATACTATCAAAGCCTTGCATCTTATTTTGTTTTAATCATAAATTGTAATATTGGGGGAAATAACTCCCATTCTGTCAATCTAGTAGGTTCATTGAAAGCCAATCACATTGCCCGTGATGTCATAATTAAGCTCCATTATTGGTAATTGCTCCGCTACTATATGCTACTATTAAACAACGTTATCTTCGTCCCCCACAAAAAGAAACCCTGCCATTTTATTAATCCTTAAATACTGCAAAAACGGCAAGGCGGGCCTGAACGTAATTGTCTTGGTGTTCCCTCCCCGCTCCCAACGATCACTTAAAAAATTAGTTTGCCGTGTATCAATCATATGAAATCCTATCAGGTTTAAAAAAAAAAAATCATATGAAATATTATGAATTTTCCAATGAATCCAAAGTGGATAGACTATTCTGGAATTTTATTAAACATTTTTGTTGGCCATGTAATAAATATATATCCCTTTCTGAAAGTCTAAATAAATGTAATACTGGCTCATAAAATTATACCCTATAAAATAAATCATTAAGAACTTTTCTTGATATTTAATTACACGGATTATTTTTATAAAAGGTGCACTTAAATTTTTTTTTCTAAAAATATTTCATCGTCTTAACTATCACATAAAAAATTATACTACTTCCGGTCCTTATTATAAAAGCTAGTTGATTAATTTGAGTATATTAAAAAAAACTAGTTAAATTAATTATTTGTAATAAATATGTGTTGTCTTTCATTAAATATTCTTACTAATAAAGTGCATTAATTAGAGTTATCATTATTATAAAGACTATCTTAAAAAAAACATGAGAGACAAATCAAAATAGATTATAATCTTATATTTAGAATCAAAATAAAAATTAAATTAGTTTTTATATTAAAAACCGGAGGTATAGTATCATTAATTACATATGTTGGAGGTTAACATCCATTACTTTTACTATCATGTTGAGAATAAATTCCGTTAGTCAAAACAATTTATTATTCTTAGTAATGGTAATAAATTGAAGAAGAGATTTTGGAGCTTGTGTGCATTTATATTTTTTCCTAAAAAGGAAACATAAATATCTATACTGTAACTAATGCAATAAATCAATAATGAAAATATTATAACATTCTACTAAAAAAAATGTTATAACGAAAAAAAAAAGAAGAAGAAGAATTCTAGAAAATTTTATTTTCTTTCAGAAAAGGAGAAGAAACTCCACTTTTTGAGCTCATCTGCAATGCCCATGGAAGGGGTTAAACTTGAATAAAAGCAGCCACAAAGGGACAAAGTTAAGTGGAAATGGGAGCGTACAAGTCGATGACACTCTCACTCATGGCCTCATGGAAAGTGCTTTGAGAGAGAGAGAGAGAAGGAGCTCTTAGAGAGGGAGAGCGGTTTCTGCCATCTGCTCCGCTTTGGAAACAACATTTCGTTCGCTGCCGGTGCCGATGAGGTTTGGTGTGCTTTTGAGAATGAAGCTAATGCAATCTGTATCAGCTTTTTCGTCCAGTTTCTTCTGCTAGGGAACCCTAATTGTGGAGTCCGGTCATCGTGGAGAATGCACTGCCAAGGTTGCTGGAATTTCTGGTCCTTACTTGTTTGTTGACATGCATGCCAAGTTCGATGAATGTGGACATGGAAGGTGGATTGTGGATCTCTTTATCTGAAATTTGAGCTGTAAAGGTCATGATTCTCACTGAAATGTGAAGCTGATGAGCTTTTGTGCTTTTCATTTTCTGGTTCTTCTTGCATTTCTGAATTTTCTCTGTGTATTGACTCTGTGATCCTCTGGGATCAATGCATGCGGGTGAGATGGTTCAATTTTGTCACAGGATTCATGTTTTCTTCGTTTCTCTGTGTTTGCCTGTCTCATTGGAACGTCTTGTTCAATCAATGAGTGTTCGATCTTGCATGCCCACTGTTTCGCTCCCAGTGTTTTAACTCAGTAGCTCGCATGCTGTTCTGGCTTAAAAATGGCTTGAATATGAAGTTATGTTTGTTTCTGAAAATGTTATAGATGAGTTTTGGTGCTTATCGAAAGCACAAGAACTTCTGCTTATATTCCATAAACAATGTCTTGGTAACTTGGACACCGTATAAAAAGCATAAGAACTTCAGCTTATATTACATAAACCATGTTTTAGTAACTTGGATACAGTTTAAAATTGAAGCAAATTATAGTCTATTAGAAAATATTTTTACTTCTTTCGAGTTGCATCCAGGATGTTAATGCATTCTATTTACCTTATTATGTCAATCATACGCTTAGACCAGCGATTAGAAAAACTTTTGATATTTTTCTTGGGATAAGAAAAATGAAACGAAAAATATTTATCATCAACTCACGAAGGTTTGTGTGGGAAAAAAGATGCGCATATTGTAATTTGCCAGGCTTACAAGGACACACTGCATCGTTGTCTAGTTTCCAAAATTATTTTGGTTCATTTTAACGTGATGCATTACTACTTGGTAATTCCTGTCATGCAACACGAGCCATCCTCCTTTCCTCTTTCAGGCCTATGTGAAACCGCCTCTGCCAAGAAAAAGGAAAATAGTGTAAAACCTATGTTGATTTTCACAGCATTACATGTCCTTTGCAAACAATTCCTTTTGTACTGAGTTAATTGCATCATTCCGAGATCGTCAAAATCCAAGCGACTTCTTTTTTTTTGGGCTGAGCTTAGTAACAGTTAAGGGAGTAGGTTGTGGGAAAACAATATGTTGACAGTTTATGCTTGATAGAATCGCATCATATAGAAACGGTGTCACCTTTTTGCTGTGCTTGGCCATTTTTGAATTGCGTGTTGATGTGTCCAGAATAATATTACAAACTTTGAATCACCATGACAGAATTGGTGATTATCATATTTTGGTGCGTTTTTACCAGTTTCATATTTAGACTTTTAAATTCTTCTTCTTCTTTTTGTGTTTATGTTTAGTTTTGCCTTGCTTTTTGTTTGAACCCTTGTTTCAGTAATTTTTGCTTCATATTCTTATATTGAGGTGATGAGACTTTTTTTTTTTTAGGTTGGTTTATAACATGCCAGAGCTGGGTTTTTATGATGGCAGCAACATGCAGAACCGGTAAGCAAAGGTTGTAAATAACTAGAACAGTATTCACTGTAAGAGATGATACAAAACAAAGAAATAGAGGATTTATATGATGACAGCTTTGAAGGTTCTAATGATGAAAGACGGATTTTTACTGAGGTATTTTTCAGTAAAGACAGTGTTCAGCCTAGTCAGAGGTGTCTGGTTACTGGAGTCATCAACTTTGAATGTGAATCTAGTAAAAACACAAATATTTCACTCTGCTCCAGCAATGAAAACTCAGTTTTAACAAGCCCCTCTTCTTCAAAAGTGACCCATTCTGAGGATGATTGTGATGTGGTTCAGAATTTCAACGAGACCGCTCTTGATTCTGTGCCTGAGAGATTCAATTATGAAGGCCCAAATCATGAGGATGTAAATGTCAAACGCATGAAATTTTCCCTGCATCAACTACCCTGTAGTAGATCCAATTTCAAAAAGGTTTTGAATTCACCAACACTTCTAAAAGAATATGTTACTGACGTGTCTGGTGCTGTTACAGACTTTGATAGTAAACCACTTTCTCTTCGTTTAGTTGAATCATCAAAGAATGGTGTGATATCTAGTTGCTATCTGTTGAGGCATAGCATGATGCTGAACAAAAAAAGAGCTAAGGATGGTGTAGATGTTTCAAATTGTAAAAAAACCTCTGCAGATGGAAATTTGGCCAAAGAAGTAGCTACAAGTAAAGTGACTGCTTCTCCTGTTTCCCAAGAGAGTTTCGCAAATAGGCTTGCAGTAACAAGTTCATCAATCACTGCTGTGGAGAAATCTGGATCTCATTTGCAACTTGAGGAGATGCCTAAAGGATCTTTATCCTATGTTGTGGATAAGTCAAATTTATCATTGACACCTGAACTTAAGAAGGACCCCCGTGATTTATTGCATTACCGTTGTGTGCAGTTGCTTATGATGGCAGGATGGTCTATTGAAAAGCGTAAGAGACCTTGTAGACGCTACTTTGAGTCAGTCTATTGGACACCAGAAGGAAGGCCAGTTCGTGAGTTTATAAAAGCTTGGAGGTTATGTGGTCAGTTTTTGTCTGCTGACAAATACAATTCGATGCAGGATAATTGTAAAGAATGGACTGATATTAGTCAATTCTGGTCTGATCTATCCAGTGCATTGATAAATGTTGAAAAGGCAATGAGCCAGTCAGAGCCTGCTGCCATGCTAGCTTATCAGTGGTGGCTCCTGGACCCTTTTGTAGTAGTAATTTTTGTTAAACGAAAGATTGGTGCACTGAAAAAGGGGGAGCTAGTGAGGGTGAGTCGAAGTATAGTTTCTAGAAATTATAGGATGGCATGTACTACCAAAAGTTCAACTTGGAAGGATACTTCTGCAGCTCGATTTGATCTGAAACATGACTCAGCTTTTCTTTTTGATTCTGCTACTGCCACAACATCTCTGCTCAACTACCATGCCAGTAATCAGAAAACCGGGGATGGAAATAACGTAGGATATGAACAGACAATTAATGGGGTAATAAAACTACCAATATATGAAAGCAATAGCATTATTAACCAGGAAGAGATGTACTTAGAACACAATGCTGACGGCATAGGAAATCAATGTAGGAAAGTATCTGTGTATGAAAGGAGTAGTCTTGGTGTAGGCTTGTTACCTGATGACGGGTTGGGTTTTACTGGTACACGGTCAAGTGCTTGTACTTCCAATGTTACTATAACTTCTGGAAATTCAAATCAGGTATTTAGAGGGCTTGAGGTAAACACTTCTCTGGAGAGCAATGTTAGAAATTTTGAAAGCTCTGATCAAAAGTACTCGGAAAATTTGTTGGAAACAAGCAAGATAGTTGATGGGGATGTGCTAATGGGCGAGGCAGAGGAAAAGGATCCGTTGAATGGCAAAGTTCAGGATCTTTGTGGAAGTTATCTGGAGGAAGACCTGAATAGATATCCACATGGACCAAGACGTGGCTTGGTTCATTGTCCTGCCTCAGAGGCTGTTCAGCAGTCTGAATATGGTGAGGAAGGGGGTGAAAAAGGCTCAAGAGCTTCTGTGCAGACTGTGGTTGAGACAGCCAACACATGTTCTACCCCTGATGTTACTCTGAAAAAGAAAATACGGAGGAAGTGTAAAAGGGTATCTGAAATCAAACTGAGTATGTTATATGAAAGTGACATGATGGGTTCTACAGTTACAGATGAGTTTCAATTAACAAATGGTGACTTATGTGGTAATCACTTAGAACTTGAAGAGGGTGAGCATGTAGTTGACAATGCAGAGGATAGAGGAGTCCACAGGAAATTGTCATCAATCAGTTCATTCCGGCAACAACATACTGAGAGAACAAATGCAAAGTTTAGAAAGAGTTGTCACAACAATGACCCTATAACTGAAGAACCGAGGTCTAGTGGATGCCAGATTGCAGATGATGACCTGCTGGTTTCAGCTATTTTCAAGAAAACAGGTTTCATCTCAAAGACAACTCAGGGTGAATCTAAATCTAAATCCTACAAATCAAGAGCTCAGAGAAAGCTGAAAAGGCAAAAGGGTCATTGCAGGTTGCTACCAAGGAACCCTGGCAATGGAGGGAAGCGCGTTAGGGAAGTCAAGAGGTGTTATCTTGGGGCAAGAACAGTGCTATCATGGTTGATTGATAATGGGATCTTATCCATAAATGATGTGATTCAATACCGAAACCTTAAAGATAATGCTGTCATTAAGGATGGTAGGATTACCGGGGATGGTATTATATGTAAGTGTTGCAATAAGTTGCTTACATTATCTGAGTTCAAGTATCATGGTGGGGATAGATTAAATCGCCCTTGCTTGAACCTTTTTATGGGGTCTGGTCAGCCTTTTACATTGTGCCTGCTTGAAGCTTGGTCTGCTGAATACAAGGCCAGGAAAAGTGGGAATCAAACCATGAAAGAAGACGATGATGATAAAAATGATGACTCCTGTGGATTGTGTGGTGATGGCGGTGAGTTGATATGCTGTGATAACTGTCCATCAGCTTTTCATCTTGCTTGTTTGTCCGTTCAGGTTCGTCTGCTCTTAGGTTTCTCCTCTCCCCTATTCTTCTGACTTTCATTCATATTTATACTTTAACTGAAAATAAACTTCATAGTTTTGATTTTTGCTGTAATGTGGGCATTCTACTGAGTAATTATTTCAATGTTTCTCTCTGCCTTTCCTGACCCCCCCCCCCCCAATAGAGAAAGTTCTCCCTCCGTATGCTTCATCTTTGATGCGCTCGAGGGCATGCTTACATAGCAGCATTACATATGCAACTCTGCCCTATTTTCCCCCTGATATGGTGATAAATTCTTTTTGTCATTTAGTTGGTCTGGTCTGTAGCTAGTTTGCTTTTATATCTAGCCAGTTACTGGAAAAGTGCAGACATGATGGGTGATAGAGGTACTCTGTGCCCTCTATTATATTTAAACTGTGATTTGTTAGCAAACGTGCATGTTTAGTTTGGTTGCTCTTAAATAAAGGGTATCATTGGGTTTATTATTTTTCCCCCTTTATTTGATAAATGAATTCCTTCATGTTAGTAAATGTGAACTTCTCTAGCATGAGCTTGTGTTTATATATTTTCCTGACTTGTTACCTTCCTTCTTGTACATTGCATTTGATTATCATGTATTCTTAACCAAATTGTGTTTGAAAACCTGATCCTTTCCTTTCTTTTGGAATTTTGCGGATGTCATGGTTATCGTAGTTTTCTGGTCATGCTTCAGATAGTGATATCAAAGTATGTTTTATACCCCAGGATATCCCTGAAGGCAACTGGTACTGCACAAACTGCACTTGTCAGATTTGTCAGAATTTTGTCAATGACAAAGAGGCTCCTGGTGCTCGTGATGCACTGCAATGTTTACAGTGTGAACGTAAATGTAAGTATGACTGCCATAATTATTAAAATTGTACAATTCATGATGTGAAACCAGTGACCTCTAATTGAGTGACAGCCACATCATCACATGAATTCACGATTCAGACGTGTGAAAACTGTGAACTAATTTCTATAAATATTTGCAACTTTTTGATGAGTTGGCATTTTGAGTGCAATCAATTTTTAGGGTATTACCTTGTCTGTCTTGGCTTGAACCATAATTGTTTACAAAGATTCTCGGCTGATTTTTTTCTGTGCTTTCTGCTTTGTGAATCATTCATGACGACTCCATCTAATAATTACAATTTTTAATAAATAGATCATGAAAAGTGTCTGAGTGGAGGCAGTAAACCAGAAGGGGAAGTTTCTGACAGTTGGTATTGTGGCCGACGCTGTCAAGAGGTACAGTTGCAAGCGCCAAACTTATGTACTTCTATTAGTTGATAGAGGATTTGTTAAATTTAGAAACTGAAGGTTTGCCATTTTGTCCAAGCTTACAACGATGCAGTATTAACATGAAGAAGGAGCAGATCAACAAATTGAAATATTAATATTTTCTGGCTTCTTGACGTAGATAATGCGGCTAATAGCATGATTAGAGTTGTAACTGTGCTTATTATTCATCTGTCATCACTGATCATTAAGTCACTAAATATTATTAAACGGCACGAATATCCTATATCTGCTTTTTTTTTCCCCTCTCCTTTTTTTTTTTTTTTTTGCCTAAAGATTTGACCTTTTAGCGTGTGCAGGTATACACTGGTCTTCAGTCACGGGTTGGACTTGTTAATCACATTGATGGTGGCCTCTCATGGATGCTTCTTAGATGCATCCAAGATGACCAAAAGGTTCATTCTGCCCAGTGGTTAGCCCTCAAGGCGCTATGCAATACAAAATTAGCTGTTGCCCTTACCATCATGGAGGAGTGTTTTTTGTCAATGGTGGATCCTAGAACAGGCATAGACATGATACCCCATGTTTTATACAACTGGGGGTGAGTTCCTTGTAATTTTGATAACTCTCCCTCCTTGATTTGCTGTTTACCTTATTGTCTTTTCCACTTTGTAATTTGCCTACAAGTTCTTTGTGTCCTCTTTAAGGTTTAACAGCTTTTATTTCCATACGATATTTAGGTCCGATTTTGCTCGCCTGAATTTTCAAGGGTTTTACACTGCAGTATTGGAGAAAAAGGATGTCTTAATTTCAGCAGCATCTATCAGGTAAAGTAAATGTTCTCATGGAATTTATGTCAAAACTGAACTGAGCACATCTATGTGAAATGGATCTGTTTAGCTAATTTAATGGAAGGTAAAGCCCATAATTATGCTGCTGCTGCCTCCTGTTGACATATGGAATTGGCCATTTCATGAGTATATCTATGCGGCATCCTTGTGTTTATTGTATTCTCCTTAGGCCTTTTACCCTTTTGCAGGGTGCATGGAACTACAGTTGCAGAGATGCCACTTATTGCAACTTGCAGTAGGTATCGTCGGCAGGGAATGTGCCGACTCCTTTTGAGTGCAATTGAAGAGGTGTGATATGATTCTGCTGTAGTTTCATGTTAATGGTTCCGCACTTCATTCCTTGTTGTCTCAAGCATTTTGTATGGGTATATGTACTTCTTTTGTCTGCAGATGTTAATATCTGTCAAGGTAGCAAAGCTTGTGATAGCAGCCATTCCAGATTTAGTTGAGACTTGGACCAATGGCTTTGGATTCAAACCTTTAGGTGATGATGAAAGGCAGAAACTGAACAAAATAAACTTGATGGTTTTTCCTGGGACTGTATTACTTGAAAAACCCTTGTTCAAGGAAGATAAAGCAGAAGGTATTGTCATTTTTTTTATATGGACAACAAGCTAATTTTAGACGATATCCTCCATATTTATATCAGATCTAATCTATTTTATACTCTACTAAAGTAGGTGTCTATTGTGAAGGAATGGCGATGACTGAATCATTGCAGCAAGATGTTGGAGGCACATCTGCTGATGAAATTGGTACGAAGTCAGACGCCGGACTTGGTTGCAGCAAGAATGACAGAGATTGCAGAATTGAATCACTGCCGCAAGATGTAGAAAACAATTCTACTGATGAACTTAGTAACAAGTCAAAAACGGAACATGTTTGCGGCAAGAATTTCCCAGATTACAGAGCTGAGCCACCTTTAGGATTGAAAGAACCAGCAGATTCGAGTACCTATTTAAGTGGAGAGAAGATCATGGGCTTTGTAAACAATATGCAGGAATTGAGAATTAACGGCAAAATGGACTCCACAAATGAGTCTGTGCAGCACTCTAGTGGGAACTGTTGCATGAACAAAGACGGTACCGAATCAGTAGTAAGAATTGTTGAGAACAGAAATATCAAAGCGGGTGAAGGTCAGGAGAATGGCTTGTGGGGCCCTTTTTTGCAAATGTCCTGCAAAGCAGCATTAGGCAACAATTTTGACGTGGATTCCATAATTGAATCCTCCGGGATGTATGATGAAACACAGCTCTCTTTGGAACAGAACTCGCAGGAGGCATGTGAAATGATGAATGAATGAAAATCAGAAAGGAATTGGTTGTTTAGAGAAATGGTATCATTTAGATGGAACTTATAGGTCAGAAGAGTACATTGAGAAAATTTGACTGTAGCAAAACGTACAATAGAAAGTCAAAGCGTAACGGGCTAACAGATTGTGACCCATAATGTATTCAACATAATTAACTCTAACATGCGATTACAGAAATTAAGAACTGCATCTAGAGTGCCAAAAATATGCATTCGATTTACTTGGCTTTAAACTAAATGGAAAGAGGGAATAATCTCACAAGGTTCTTTTTATTTTAAAAGATAATCAGACTTGAAGACACCAGTTTGGTGTTGGGAGTTGCTTTTATTTTCTGAGCAGGGCTCAAAAGACCCGGTGAAGATTTTACTCTCATCGTGACTCATGCCTCAGCATCCAATAATGCCCTAACCAAATTGTACTTAAACCCCAAAGTCTCCTGGAAACAATACTAAGAAATAAATACGTGCAAAATCTATAATAGATTGTCCAGTACCATTCAAACGAAAAGGAGCCATAATTTTTTTTTTTGAAAAAATTAATCTTTTAATCCTTCAAGTTTTAACTCAATTATGATTTGGTCCCTCTATTATGACTTGATGCGACTCAATCCCTAAACTTTTAACTCGGTTAAAACTCATTTCTTAAACTTTTTCTTTTTTTTTTTTATGCATGACTCAACTTGACTTATCCCATGTGGCTTCCAAGTAAGCTCCACATAGATTAGAGTTTAAAAAAAAAAAGGGTTTGCATGGCTGGCTTCCTTCATATATTCCATAGCCACCCGATACGCCGGACGACAAGTGCATCTACTCAGCCCAAGCGATTTCCCACCTCCTGTGTAACTATTCCTTCTTATTTCTTATTTCTGGTTCCTTGCTTCTTGTTCTTACAGATTCAAGGTCAAATAGATGCACCCCGATTGATTATTCATTTTTGATAGAAAAACAAGGGGGAGAAAAGAATGAGAAAGAAACGAGAGAAAGTGGGAACCAAATTCTTTATAGATCTCAGGAGCTCAACTCCTTGAACACAGCAATACTAAAGATGGACAATTATATGATTAGGAGCGTCCATTTGTTGGTTCAATTAATCATAGGCGTTGTGAGGCATGGTGGGAAAAGAAAATCCAAGCTTGCTTACTGGGAAGTGTGGGGGGAAAAAAAACTACGTATGACTGAACCCGACTGAACCCTCTTTGACGGTGACCTTAGTGGCTGCGTCGCCACATCTTTGCATTTCACGGGTGAGTCAACAAAAATAGAAAAAAGCAAGGAACTAAAAACAAGAAAGAAGGGAGGGCTTGGGCAGAATAAATGCGCTTGCCCGGTTGTGACGGTTAGTATCTGATCGAAGATATCAAGGAAGCTAGCCATGAAAACTTCTTTTTTAATTTTCTATTTAATCTACGTGGAGCTCACTTGGAAGCCACTAAGGACGAGTCAAGATGAATCATGCATAAAAAGGATTAATTTATTAAATAGAAAAATTTAAGGACTGAGTTTTAACCAGGTTAAAAGTTTGGAAATTGAGTCACACTGAGTTATAATAGAAGGATTGAGTCATAATTGAGTTAAAACTTGAAGAACCAAAAGATTTTTTTTTTTTTTTTGGCTAAACTATAGGTATCCTCCTATTGAAAGTAATCTTATTCGAGACACTGTCATCTAAGTACTAAATGTGAGCACCTTTTCTAGTGAAAATTTAAACTTTGATTCGTCACATTGTGAAGGATTAATTCATTCTGTTAGATCCAATTTCCATTGGTAAGGAGCACATATTTGAAGTGTATAAAGTGGGGGAAACAAAAAGTTGTGCAACCCAACCTCGTCCAGTTATAGGTCATCAGTTTTGGCCCAAAAGTTTTAGACCCTTAGCCCAAATATTTTGGGCTTAAGGGGGATTTAGCCCATTTGGTTCCAAAGGTCCAAGTTCAGAACCCAATGCTTTCACCACAAAGGCAAAAACAGGAAGAATGCGAGAGCCCAGACTAACTAATGATAACGGATGGCCGGATGTTACCTGGGATATACCGTTCATCGGTTTCTTTCCGGTACACACCTAATAGCTAGCTTTCTAATCACTGCACTACGGGGCAAGGCAAAGCAAGGCCAGGCCAACACCTTCCTTAATGCCATGAACGAAAGCTCCTTCAAGCTCATTCTACAGCGTGGTATAGTTCCTCACTCCCTCATAGACCCTAGACTAAGGCTTCTTCAGGTCCTGGGGTTTCTATGAGCTATGCCTTCGTCCCCCAAGTCCTTCTACGGCCGCCCACCTCCGCTGTCATCTCGTAGATCCGCGTTCCTGATAATTTTCTGCCTCTTAATCGGTGTCTCTGGCTTTCTATATGGAATCACATCCTTTCTAAGGCCGATTCACGGGTATCGATGTCTGAACACCCGGCCTAGATCCGTTCGTGTGGTTTGGGAGCAAGTTGGCAGCAACAGTGGTGGTTCGAACGATGGGATCCATGGTGGGATTGGAGTTGATAGGCATAAAGTCATGGGCTTCGTGGGGATTCAGACCGGATTCGGATCCGTAGGTAGGCGCCAGGCGCTTAGGAAGACCTGGTTGCCATCAGATCGCCAGGGGCTCGAACGGTACTGATCTTGTATCCCTTGTAAATTTCATGATTGTATGCTGTTTTCATGAATCATGAGTCCTCGTGACTCAGACGGGTGAGGAAAAGTGAATAATTTGCAGCTCTTATTGAAATAATGCTTTTATGCCCACTTCTACCCTATCGATTTTTCATTCATTTTGGATTTGGGTTTGATCTAGTTGGGATAAAGATTATTGACTGTCAGTCACTTGAAAATATAAATTATGCAAAGATCTTCTCCCTACTTACTTGGCCTACTTTATATTCTATGCAACATACGGTATCCATTAGTAATTTTGCATCATCTGAAAATGGTGTTAATTAGATTATTTATCCTCAGCATTTCTCATGTACTTCGGCTTGAAAAAGCGCCCCGTAGCCTTCGACGACAAAAGCAACTGATCTAGTTTGATGTAAATTGTTTGCTCTTAGCATGCTAAGTTCTTTTAAATGGCTGTGATTTGTAGCTTGGAAGAAGCCACTGGATTAGCATTTAGGTTTATCATTGGTAGAGCAAATGATAAATCAAAGATGGCATCGCTTCGGAAGGAAATAGCAGAATATGATGATTTCATTCAATTGGACATCGAAGAGGAGTACAGTAAGCTACCATACAAGACGTCAGTACTGAGAATTACAGAACGCTTTCTGTTACACCTGCAGTAATAGTATGTTGCTAACAGTGTTCTTTCATTTATTCAGTTTAGCTTTCTTTAAAGCTGCCTATGCACTTTTTGATGCTGAATTTTATGTCAAAGCTGATGACGATATATATTTAAGGCCAGGTACTTTATTATTGTTATAATGATTTTATACATATAGCACCTTCATTTATCAGTCTCCTCCCTCCTCAACCACATGAATAAATTAAAATTTCTGGGATTATTTTCAATTTATTGTCAGACCGGCTTTCAATACTGCTGGCAAAAGAGCGATCTCACTCTCAGACTTACATAGGATGCATGAAAAAGGGCCCTGTTTTCACCGACCCAAAACTTAAATGGTTTGTTCAGTTCAGATTTCTATTTCAGCTGTAGCCTTAATTTTATTTTTTCTGGGCACAATGCTTCTAACTCCACGTTTAGTATTTGTTGATATCTCCGATGAAATTGCTTCCAAGTTGAAATTTCGTGAGAGTATAAAATGGGCCATCTTGGTTTGATGTTGCTGATACATTGAAAAAGAAATTACTATCTATATGTTTTATGAATGAACAATCACGAAGGTGAGATTTCATAAGAATATAAAATGGGCCATCTTGGTTTAATTCAGGTTTTTTTGTCACTTGGAGTTAGCCCTGATGCTACCAAGGTGACAAGCTAAACTTCTCTGTTATTTTGCATGAAAAGTTGTAAAATGTCAATTATTTTAAGGCAGCCTCATTTATACCATGAGAAAGAAAGTTGAACCCAATTCACAAATGAATTGAACTTAGGCAATTTCAAACCTTGATGAGACACTTGATTTCCGGCTCTATGCTTTCAGAGATCAAATTGAGAATAATTTAACTTGCCAAAAGTACAATTTGTGAGCCGACAATGTTCATGAAGCGTGTCATTAAGTACTCCTGTTATAGTTAATATTAAAGGCTGAGTTATATTCAGCATATTTATTATTTCTTATTTGGCCTTTTGAGTAACTGGACTGTTAAAGCCTTCAGGTATGAGCCGTTGTCCCATTTGCTTGGAAAAGAGTACTTTCTGCATGCTTATGGTCCTATATATGCGCTTTCTGCTGATGTTGTTGCAAGCTTGGTGGCTCTAAGGAATAATAGGCAAGTATCTTCTTCCACAACTGAATTGCTTAGGCTATACTTGTTTAACTGACATATAAGTTATGAAGTGACACATGCTGCATTTATACGCATTTGGGAATCTTTGATCATCGGAAGTCTTTGTAAATTTATCTAACCAAATTACTATTAAATTTGAACGAGATTTTCCTTCTCCGATTCTATTCTTTTCTGTGTCCTGAATATTTGCCCAGGTAATAATATGGACATAGTGCGGTACTCGCCCCTTCCTAGTTCCTCTGACTGTAAATAATATTTGCACTTTTTCTTTGTTAAATCACAGTTTCCGGATGTTCAGTAATGAGGATGTTACTATTGGAGCTTGGATGCTTGCAATGAATGTCAACCACGAGAATAATCATGAATTGTGTTCCACTGACTGCACTTCCACATCGATTGCTGTGTGGGATATTCCAAAGTGTTCGGGTTTGTGTTTTGTTCATTGCAAAAATATATCATAGAATCAGGTTGTAGAAGCTTGTACTGTAGGGCTGCGCTGGATATGGTTAAAAACACATGATATTTATGGATCCTAATGACAAAACACGGGAGGGGACTGGTTGCCGTTTTTCTTGTGTATTTTTGGCTTTCATATCGGGAAAAATGAATTTAAGCTTATCTATCTTCTATCTTTCAGTACCATGAGGTATGTCTTAAAATATTTTATATGGGAGTAAAAGGGTTGCACTGCTAGAGTTTCCAGTCATCAAAAGAACGTCTTATCATATCTGTTGAAACCATGTTTTGTTAGTCAGCAAACTGGAAGCGGATTATTGTTACACTTGCAGCCTAAACCAAAGCAAGATGATATTTCTGATGATCTGAATGCTCTTTTTCTTTAGGCCTCTGTAACCCAGAAAAGAAAATGCTTGAACTCCATCAAAAGAAGAGCTGCTCTAAAAGTCCTACGCTGGAATCTGATGAATAGTATTTGTGCACCAGCAAAATTCAGAAGGTAGTGAAGGAATTGCATGCTCCCACGAGATGAGATGCGATGCTCTCATCATTTTTCTATGAAATGATCACTATCATTTCGATTCACCTTTTTCCTGTACGAAAACATACCGTCATATTTTTCCTTTTTCTCTATTTTTCTCACATCATTTTTCCAAATTTTTTATGGGTGTAAAGGGGAAAATGAAGGAGATGATTGAGTAAAGTTTTATATGTAGAACATACAAAGAGATAGACTCAGGGAGGATGCTACTAAATTTTAACTTCTGACTTCTGAGACTATATATGACTCCCACCAAATTTTGACATTCTTTGGAAGTATGGACACCATTAGCCTTCGGCTGTAAATTCAGGTTTTATGGATATTTTTATGGTGACCTGCGAATTTATGAGAACACTTTAGGCCATGTTCTTATGCTTTCCCACTGTGACACGTTTGTTCGCAAAAGAAGAATAGAAAATTAATACTTCTAGCAAAGCTGTTGTGCCATACACAATGAAGACCTGAACAAGAAGATGAATAGCACTAATTGTCATTCTGTTATTATCGATTTCTTTTAGCAATTTTTCAATGAAAGGTTAATGCAAGTATCCAGCCATGAACATTTTTGTCATAGTTGACTGAATGGAATCAGCACTGTCTGAACTTCTTTTTTTTTTTTTTTTGGGTTTTGTAATGACATGACCGCGGTCAAAACAATAGAGGATGAAGTTAAGAGAGTAAAAGATCTCTGCATCCTGATGGAGGATCTTTAGAATTGGCTGATTGATTCGATTTCCTTCCTCCAACATATTCAGCCCAGAATTTGAGAATTAGCAGCTACCTTATGTCACTCCCTCCAGTTATACTCCTCCGGTCCTTATTATAAGACTCCATTTGACTTTTTATTTGGTTCTAATTATAAGACTCCAATCCATTTTGTCTCTTATATTTATGTATTTTTTTTCAAGATAATCCTTCTAATAATGATAGTTTTAGCCAATATACTTAATTAGCAAGGATATTTTAGGAATGACAACACTTATTTATTATAAATAACCAACTTAACTTACTTCCTTAATCTCTTTAAATAAATCAATTGGGTCTTATAATTAGGACCGGAGGAGTATTTAAAGATTGTTCTCAGTCCTCATAATTCTTTGTAGAAGACTTGCTACAAAATTTGACGAAACATTTGTGATTAATTTTCAAAAATGCCATTATAAAACACCAAGTAAACTTCACTCAGTTCACCCTTTTTCATTTGTAAATTTGATTAAAGATAATTCTGAAATAGTACAGAAGTTGTTGGTATTTAACTAACTTAACTAATTTTTTTAAAATCTAAGCAAAATAGTCAAGGAGTCCTTGTAATCAAAAGACTGATGTGATTATCACACAAAGGTTTCTCTCCAGATTTGGTATTTGGAGCCTTATTTAGGCTGTTAAAAGAGCAAACCTGATTAAATCCGAACAGGAAAACGGTGAGCCCAAAAGTAAAGGGCTTGGCTAATTGTGGCCCTATTTGATTTCCTCTTCTAACTTATAAGAATAATTTTTAGTTTTTGAGAACTCCACAATAAAAAAGTTGCTTGATAACGAGTTTTTGTTGAATTTTATTTCCTTAAAATTTTACGCTATACATGTGAGTTTTATTTCATAAAAATTAAAAAAAAAAATTCTCCCTTTAGTTGCTTCTAAACAGCCAATTGTCAAACTAGTGGGGTCCCGGTGTCATTGATGAACCATACTCACTTTTTTATTTTGTGGGTTCTGAATCCTGAAAGACTAAAAACAAATGTTAAAAGTATTGGTGTTTCTCAAAATGAATTTTGACGCAGAAATTATGATGTTAATCATTGGTCATGCTTTTACTATCATTCATAATTGGCTCAATCCAAACTCACTTTTTTTATTTTTAGTTTCTGGCATTTGAAAGAATTAAAAAAAATGTCAAAACTCGTGCTAGTTCTTAATGCCCTTTAGTACATAATTTATGATGTTAATCCCTGATCATGCTTTCATCATCATCACGTCCATTATGGTTGGTTCAGGCTTAAATTTTATTGACTTTCTAATGATGTGAAGATTCCGTAAGCTTTTTTATATAGCATATTGCCAACAGTAACAAAAGAAGAAAAATAAATCAATAAGAAAAGTCACAATGATATACCTTATTTCTGATCACGTTTAGTGCTCGACAGCATTCCGAACAGAATTACTTCTAATAGAAGGATACTACCAAAAAAAAAACTTCGTTTTCCTCCTCTTTAATCACAAACCGCCGAATTTGCTCAACTAAAATTATAATAGAATATTATTACAGTATTAAATGTGAGAGTTAATAAAGAAGTTTGTTTTAATCTTAAATATAAAATATCAATCTGTTGTATTTCTTAAATATATAATTTTTTTCTTAAAATCTTCTCATTGATTACGTATATTAAGAAGATTTTTAAAATTAGTTTTCTGGTCTCGACAAATTTATTATCTAAGTCTTCTATTTAGGATACGAGAGAGTAATTAATCTGTCCCTAGGAAACGTTTCCTCAGTAAACATGGCAAGACAAGCCAGCAGCAGTGTTGATATTTTATCGAAAAAAGAAAACTTTTCCATCAATTCAGATTATGGGAACTTTCATTTGCTTGATTTGCTAATGTTGCCCCCATTCAATTCTGAAAGGGCAATAATGATTGAACATTATATTATTACTACTCAGAAACAATGAAGTCAAAGTGATTGGACCCATTACAGGTTGGTGCAGACCTCAGACCTCCTCAACTGTATTTATTTTATTTTATATTTTAAATATATATATTAAAACTTTAAAGCAGCTTATGGCCTTTAGCTGATTTTGGGATAATTTCTTTTTTTTTTTTTAAATCCAATGAAATTGAACGAATGGCTGTGAAGAAATTGAGAGTACTTCCCAAAAAAGAATGGTGATTAAAAAGTATGGGCCTCTCGTGATGGGCCCGTCATTGGCCCATCAAAAGTCAATCATGCTGGGCCACCGTCCTCTTCCTCCAGAAGTTTTCGACAAATCACGCTCCATTGGGCCCCATGGGGCCCATCGACATTACTTGTCCTCTTCCGCTTCACTTCCAAAACTTTCCTGCCACTGACCTGGAGCTGACTCATCATTTCCCCCGTTTTGCAATTATCATATTTATTTTTTCCTGGAATATTTCTATTGTGATGTAATCCCCCCCGTCTTATAACATTTATTTTTCTTCTAAAATTTTTTTTTTCCAAAATAAAAATTACCTTACAATTTTATATAATTTTAAATTTTTTTAACCAGAGATACTTTGTGCTATCGAATTGGAATACTAGATAATTTCTCTAAAGACATCTTGTTTATTCATACAATTTTTAACTTAAATCCCCATTCTTAAGTAATTATAGTCCTTTACTTTTATTTATAAATCACTTTCAGCATGTTTTATTAAAATTAAAAAAAATATTATGCATCGCTAACTCTATCTTAAACAATTTAATATGTATGCATTTTTCAAGATAGAAAATAGCAGTCTACACAATAATAAATAAATAATAAAACAATACACCCAGATAAAAAAAAATTGATAATTTAACTTATAAATAAAATCATTCTCTCGCTGACTTGTAAATGAAACCAGAGTAGCCAATTATATATATTAATGCCTTTTGGTTTCTAACTAAAACGACACATAACTACACAAAATGTAAAAAACACGCATGGACAGCCACGAGGGTAGTGATATTAATAGGACCCTTTTGGAAAAAAGATTATGGAGGCTTAATCCATCTATTAATTGACAAATTATTAGAGAGAAGAGTAATTACGGTAATCATAGTTGTTTCTTTTGGATCAAATTGTGTTAAATGTGGATCACACATCACGTCATTTTTAATCTAACTAGTGTCGTTTTATGACATGCATTGTGATTCAGACAGCACTAAAGCAATAAAATTAGAACTTGATTTGAATTATATAGTGATGGAATTTGTCTCCAACAGGAAATAATCATTAAGCAGCTTTGATTGATTTAAAGTTCAACAATAAACATCCAAAAATAATAATAAATATTGCGGGACAAAATTGTAATTATCTGATACAATTCATCAGAGAGCATAAAAATCCACTTTGAATATTACTGCCCATAAATCAAAATTAAAGTGCCCACACTGCAATTATATGTTTTACATGTTCATACAAGTCAATATTTTAACAATAATTTATCTTAAATTTAAATTCTTGCTTGATCGTTTAATGAAGAACATGTTCTGAAGATTTGTTTGACTTTAATTCAGAATAAATAATTCAATGGATTTAAAAAAAAAAAAAGAACTAACACTCTAAAATTATCCCCTTTTTCGCGCGATGTAGTTGAATGCTATGTTCATTATTTTTAATTAAACACATGCGCCGCTCTAATTTTCTTTTTCTAATCTCAGTTAATTAAGGAAACAGGCCAAGTCGTGAAGGAAAGAAATGCCCCAACTTTAATTAATTTTAAAAAATAGTGAGATGTGAAACGCCAAAAGCTAATTATATACTCCTTTGGCTCCTAAATAAAAGAGTTGGATAACTAATTCACAAATTAAAAAAATTTAGTTATTTTTTGCAATAAACATGTACTCCTTAGGTAAGACCTATTTTATAATGTAAATTATATTACAAAATAAATTTTATATTTAGGACCGGAGAAGCATCAGTTTTTGCTAAGGTATCTTTTTTTTGGGGGGTTCATTGGAACTCTATTATTGAAAATCCTTTTTTCGCAAGGATAACTTTAAAAAAAAATATAAAACTAGGCTAAAAAATAAACTGAAATCTTATAATAAATTGATAATTAAGGATTTTATTGTATGTTTATAGCAAATTATATATTATCTGTGGCGTAAATTAAAACTCAAACCCTAATGGGGATCACGTGGCATGGGCCTGAAATTCCCATTCAAAGGACGAAGGAAGGGAGAATGAAAGAGAAGGAAACCATTTTCATATAACGAAGCTTCAATGGTAACTGTGCAATTCTGACACTTTTCACTCTTTACTATTTATATATCATATGACCTCTTTCCATATAAATATTCCCTCTGCTCTTAACCCTAAAAAACCAGCAACAGAATAATAATATGGCATCTATGGCGTCATATATATATATATATATATATATAATGAATCAATAAAAATTAATAATGTCTCAACCATACAACACAGTACAAGACGACAACACGAAACCCTTTCTCTTTGAACAAAACTATATTATCAGTCTCCTCAGAAGTCCAAGAATCCTATGCTCATTGAGTATTTCTCTTCCCACATTATTAAATCTCACCTACCCCTCACTCTCCCCATCCAATTTTTAGTTGTGCACTTTCAGTATAGTTTATCGTAAGAAAAGAAAACCATAAGTCTTAATAATTTTGTTTTTAAT